CAGCCCTTCAAATACTTTGTTTCCAGCATTCTCTAACTATTTGAGAGTGATAGAGATAGGTTACACAATCAATTTACCTTTCAAGAAATTCTGCAGAGGGTGGCCCATGACTCATTATTAGAGCTGTCTCCTCACAGCGGAAGGCACAGGTTCGTCTCCTGGCCTTTCTGTGTGGAGATTGCATATTCTCTTGGTGCATGTGTAGGTTTTCTCAAGGTACTTCAGTTTCCTCCCACAGATCAAAAACATGCATGCTAAGCTAAGTGGTAAGGCAAAACTGTCCTTAGGTGTGTAGGAGAGTATGAATGGTCTTGTGTGGTCCTGTGATGGACTGGAGACCTGTCCAGGGTGTCCCCCCAGTAACTACTCCAGATACGCATCAGCTCCCTGTGACCCAGCAAGGAGACGTGTCATTGTATTTAACCCTAGCTCTGCCACTGTCACTGATCCTGCAAACCTGCACTCCCTTCCGCCACATCTAAAACAGTCTGTTAACAATCTCAGGATAGTTTTAGACTCGAACTTTAAGTTTAATAAACAGATAAATTCTCTTCTTCAAAAAAGCTTCTTTCAGCTAAGGCAGATAGCTAAGCTCAAGTCCGTCCTGTCAAGATCCGACCTTGAAAAACTAGTCCATGCATTTATTACAACCCGGCTGGACTACTGTAACTCACTTTATGCTGAGGTCAGTCAGGTCTCTCTCACGTCTCCAGCTCGTACAAAATGCTGCAGCTCAGCTACTAACAGGAACTCACAGGTTTGAGCACATTACTCCGGTTCTGTCCTCTCTTCACTGGCTTCCTGTACGTGTCAGAGTTGATTTAAAAATTCTCCTGCTGACATTCAAGTGCATTAACGGCCTCGCACCCTCATACCTCTCTGACCTTCTTCATCCTTATGCTCCTTCTCGGGCCTTGAGATCATCAGACCAGCTGCTTTTGGCCGTACCTAAAACCAGCTGAAGCTCAGAGGAGATCGAGCATTTTCAGTCATGGGCCCTAAACTCTGGAATAATCTGCCCATCAACATTCGACAGGCCACCTCAGTCTCTATTTTTAAATCTCTCCTCAAAACACATCTGTACTCATTGACACATCTGTACTCATTGGCATTTAACACAGTGTGATCTCATTTGGTATTTCGTTGTTGATGATTGTGTTCATCCATTTTGCTTTTATTCCCTGACATTTAACACAGGGTGATTTGATTTAGTATTTCATTGTATCTCATTATATTTCATGTTGTTATGCTTTTATTCATGTTGCTGTAATATGTTGTTATTAATATTTGATGCTGTGATTTTTTTGGTAAGCACTTTGATAACAGTTACTGTTTTAAATGTGCTATATAAATAAATGTGACTTGACTTGACTTGATGTGGGTAAAGAAAATGAATGCTGAAAATACAAGATGCACAATTTACTTTTGTACCTTTGTCTTAAATTTTCTTCAATGCTCTTCTGAAATTATTATTATTGTACAATCAAAACTGAAAAAAAAGTATTTTGTTTAAAGAGCAGACAGCTGCATTTCTTTAAATATTCCATCCATCCATTGGAGAACATGCAAACTCCACCCAGAAAGGCCCCTGGACCGGGGCTTGAACCAGGGACCTGCTTGCTGAGAGGCAGCAGCTCTACCAGTTGTGCCACCGTGCTGCTCTTTAAATATTGTTTATGTGGAACCTATTATGGAAGGAAAACTATATAATGTCTATATGTTGAACCAGCACATAGAGGCAAGCTCTTCAATGGGTCTCACAAAACAATAACACATTTCGACATCTTAAAAAAAAAAGGTTGCTTTTTGTCTCTTTTTCTTTGTATTCTTTTAGCTTTGAACTTATATCTGCTGTGTTTTTAATGCAACATACTTTTGGTTTATAGTGGAATGCACATTCACCAATCAGTTATAAGTTCTTGCTAGGCCTAGTTCATAACAAACAATGCTTTTTGTGAATGGCTTAGTCTTTGATAAGAACAACATCTGAAATACATCAAATTCCTTCTATTTTTATGCCTAGCTGTTTTCCAGAGATTAATTTAAAGCGGAGGGAAAAAATACACAAAAATATTGTGTGCTCTTGTGACTGGAGGTGTGATCGCTGTGCATATGGCTGTATCAGCACCCTTTTCGGTGTCATGAATCATGAACACCTTTAGTGTTGCCTCCCACCTTGTTGCTGCATGCTGCGCTCTACAGCTGGTCTTGGAGGAATGAAACCAATAAGATAAGTCCCCCCACCCCCCACATATTCACCCAAATGGATTTTGAGACTTTATTGAGCATTAAAAAATATACAACAAGGAAAATATTTCCCCCTTTTCTTCATATTTTCTCTTTCATCTTAAAATCTGACTTCTGCAGATGAACAATCCATGACTCAATGTGACAAAATGAAAAAAAGAAGTATTTTTAGTTCAACAGTAAACTTTAAGAACAGGGCCGTTGGTCCACGTGTTCATCTCATTCACTGAAAATCTGACAAAAATTAAAAAAAGATTTATAACAGATTTGGTTTGAACAGAAGTGAAATCACAGACTAGGTGGTCACATCAGACTCTGACTCTGCCTCTTCGTAGAGTTCTGCCAGCCTCTGGAACTCCATTCCCCAGTCACTCAGATAGTTATACTCCTGCTCCGACTGAGCGCCAAGAGAGTCCAATGGACTGATGGATCCCGTAGACGAGCCCTGTCCTTCATAAGCATAGGTCTGAAGGGAGTCATATGGCGGCACACTGGTGTCCATATCAGCCTCCACCAGTCTCTGTCTGATAAATTTCTGCATGTCCACTTCGTCCAGCTCCACCACTGGGCTCCTGTGGATGTGGGGCAAGCCACAAAGACTCCTCGCCTCTGGCCGAATGTCCCGTCTGAACTTGAGCTCCTCTGCCGCAGTTGGGTTACGGAGAGCAATGATGTCAAACGCCTCTGTGTCCTCCTCACCTCCGCCCTCGTCGTCGTAAGTCACTACGTTTTCTCTGATGTCCTCTTCAGCAATGATGAGGGGTTCCTTCTTGCTCCGCCTCAATGTGATGAACAGAACCACAATTGCTGCAAGACAGAAAAAAACCATGTTCAGAAAACATACTGAGGTTGAAAAGAGGAAATAAAGGAGGTTTAGTACCTTTTTTGTAAGAATCAACCACAAATTTAAGCCCATTTTATTGTAAGTTCTATAATTATATAGCTACTTTTTTTCCATAACAAATGAAAAAAAAAAAAAATTCTAAAACAGTCATTTCAATAAACACAAGTCTAGTTTGTGGGATTTCTGATGTAATTTTCTATTATAATACTATAAGTTGCTGGTTTTTGAAGTAACACAACATTGTCTGTATTTAGTTTTAATGATTTGGTAATAAGCACAAGCTGTTTAAGCATTAATTTGTGAAACCAATGTTCTTATTTCACAATACATACAGTTTATACCGTGCATTTTTAAGGAGAACACATGGGGGATTATTTCCCAAGCAGTATTTTTAGTTTTTAAAAGATTAAGCCAGCCCTGAAGTGATTGTAAACTGATGACTTCTGGGTCAAATCTGGCTTTCAAGCTAATTTTATCTGGGCCACAAAGTGATCAAGTGATGGTACAGTAAGTTCTGAAGTGATGTTTTGTCAAATAGTTCTCTGTACTTAGGAATGCCCAGTCATATCAGTCACATAGGGCACCGTGCATGGAGAAAAGAGCACAGGACTTTACTCAAGCTAGGCTACTAATAGTCAGTTAGTAAGCATAGCTAGCGTGGTAAAACAGAAGCCTGGAGAGCATCATATCTTTAAGCTTATGCAACTTTTTTATCTTCTTTTCTCAAAAATGAAACACTGGTGTGAATAAATGCTGCATGGGCTAGTTTTAAACCTCTATACTTTTGGATGACATTTGCTCTGTTTATCACTGTTTTCCAAAATAATAATAATAATAAAAAAATACACAAATGCATGTGTGCTGAGCATTGACCGTTTATGTCAATGGTGCCAAGGCTGTTGAATAAATCAGTTCCCTTGGAGTTTAGTAACCCTTTGTGCTGACTAGATTTGCTGATCAGGCTGATCGGTGCATCTCTAGTCTTAGCACATACAGCATGAATATGATTTACGATGCTCAGCACACATGCATTTATGTACCCAAAGTAATTTGAACACAGTTCAAGTTGTCTTTGAAAAAGGGATGATTTATGTCTTAAAAGACAATAAACAGCAAGCAGGCCCTAGTTTGGCTAGTCCTTAGCCTAGCCTGGAAGAAAACTTTAGCTTTCTTTCTCCTTACTAAAAGTTATATGACTGATGTCACAGCTCACATGGTACTAAATATTTAAGACATTTTGATAAAACACTACTTAAAAAATGCCCAGACAAGTACTTTTATTTATGAACAACTTGTTTGCAGTTTTCACTGTTAGTTGGAGCCAACCTCAGAATTCCATAGGAACACTTTAAAAAGCAGTGTTTTAGCAAATTAAAGTGTCTGATAGTAGTGTGTGATCAGATTGAGCAACACACATTTGCCATCCCATCCCAACCAGACTGTTTAAAGAGGTATTTCCCCTAAATATTATCCACATTTTGGATCTACCTAATTTGTCTCTAATGGATGGTTACGTTCCACAGCGCTTTAAGGTTGCTGTAATTAAAACTTTACTTAAGAAGCCTGATCTTGATTCAGAAATTCTGGCCAACTATAGACCTATATCTAATTTAACTTTCATCTCAAAAATTTTGGAGAAGTTAGTTGCTGGTCAGTTGCGTGAACATCTACAAATAAATAATATGTTTGAGGAGTTTCAGTCAGGGTTTAGAGCTCATCATAGCACGTAAAAAAGCACTGGTGAAAGTCACTAATGATATTCTCATGGCCTCAGACAATGGACTTGTGTCTTTACTGGTCCTGTGAGAACTCAGTGCTGCATTTGATACAAGTGATCATAATATTCTATTATAGAGATTTGAATATGATATTGGGATTACAGGAACAGCTCTAAAATTGATTAAATTATACTTATTTAATATATTCCAGTTTTAAAATGTAAATTATGAATCTTCTTCATATAACAAAGTTGCTCATGGAGTTCCCCAGGGTTCAGTATTTGGACAAATACTCTTTACTGTGTATATGCTTTCATTCAACACTCCTCATCTAAATGATGTTTCTCATGAAGCTTGAGGACAATAAGGTGTGGGGGTTTAAAGACATTTCAACTTTAAAGCACCTGAACACACAGAGTCTCTTACACCTGCAGCGACTTACAGCGTCACACTTACTGCTGCGATAAGATGCTACAGATGTAGCTCCTCTCAAACATTCTCCTAACATGAATATATGTTCATGATCAACCCCCTGGTCAACAACTGCCCGCACTAAGCTGCTAAACTGGCGAACAAGTAACGCAGGTACCTCCACCTCCTCCACCTGTGCACATTTTCTGCCGAGGCAAGAGGAGACGCACAGAAACACTGCAGGTGTTACACCACATTCTGTGACCACCGTATATTGTGACCGTGGCAACAGGCTGCTGGATTTAGAGTTGGAGGTAACCAGGAAAACCTGGAGTGGAGTTTTAGTGGCCTGAGTATTCTCCTATTAATCAAGTGGAATGGATTTGATCACAAAGAAGGAGAAACAGTGCTGCCTGAACTAATGTTTTACAGTAAAATTGTGTGTGTGTGTGTGTTTGTGTGTGTGGGCGGGGGTCCAAATTAACGTTTTTTTTAATGTGGGGGGGACTTGTCCCCTTCACATATAATGGTTGTGATGCCTATGGGCTTATCTCTTGTGGAACCAACTTCCAATTTCTGTCTGTGAGACTGACACATTGTCCATTTTTAAAACTAGGCTCAAGTATTTCCTTTTTGATAAATCCCATATTTAGGGTTGGATTGGGTTTCCTGACTTATCCTTTACCCTTACCTAATCCTGCTATAGGTTTAGACTATTGGAGGACAAATTGACCTCATTTCATCAAATGAAGTTTGTATTTGTAATTATTTCTATCTTTTTTTAATATTCTCTGTTGTCTTTATACCTTGTGATTCTTATGTATGCTCCTTTGTACTGAAACTGGCACAATTATTTCCTGTGGGATCAATAAAGTTCTATCTTATCTTATCCTATTTTTTTTTGTGTGTGTGTGTCTATCCTCCTATTGAGGACCCTGCTCGCCTCCATTCTGGACCTGCCATTCTGGTCCTGCCATTCTGTGTCCATTTCTCCTTCCTGTTCTCTCATCCCTAGGCGGTCGAAGTAGATGGCCGCTTGTCCTGAGCCTGGTTCTGCTGGAGCTTTCTTCCAGTTATGAGGGAGTTTTTCCTTTCCACTGTTGCCAATGTGCTAGCTCAGAATGGGGGACTGCAACAAAATGAAGACAACTCAATCTACTGGATTCCTTCCTTAGATAGATAACTTTACTAACTGGCATTAATAATAATGTGTTGTGTTTTGTCACCATTTTTCTACTCTGGCTCTTGTTTAAGGCAGACACTCCTGCTCTCCCTCCACCTGTTCTCCTTCCTCCTGCTTTGCTCTCTGTGTGTTTGAAGCTCCTGGTACACATCTCCCAAACGAAAAATACAATTATGGATCTGGTGAGCTGGACTGTCAATGCAATCGATAAAATATTAAAAAAATAAATGACAGCGTCCTGGAGAACCCTCTTGTCCAGCTGAGACTCACGCTGCGGGGTATGTCAGAGATCCATGGGGAGTTTAGCAGCTAGTGGGTCTCTCAGGTCTGTCTCAGGAGGGCACTGAAGACATTTATATATTTGGATTTATGATAGCAGGGGTTCTGCTCCTTGGCATTGGCAGGGCTCTGTTCCATAAACTTTTGAAGAAGACTTCAACAACAGTTTCGGCCATGGAAAAGTTTCGAGTCAGTGCAAAGGTTTGGTTTGTATTATGAGTACTCAAAATCAGCTGATGTATGAGCTAAACCATAAGCTGGAGGTGATTTGTGAGAATTGCAGGCCACCTGTGGTTCCTGGGACTCGTCATCATGTTGGGATCGACCTTGAGGAGGGCTCATAACACGGATTAGTGGCGTAGAATATCCATAAATTTGGCCATTTTGGACTGGAAAGTTACAGCAGAACTCAAGACTGATGAAAAAAAAAACAGTCTGCCTGAAGAAAAATCAACAATTGTGGCTTATCTGAATCTGACACCCACGTTTCACTTCAAATACGAGCCAACTATCAACTTTCTCCTGGGACATGGGTAGCTAGGACAAGGCTTCCTCTATCGCCCCCCCCCCCCCCCCCACACACACACACACACACACACACTCAGAGAATGTCTGTTCAGGCTTATCAGAACTGCCAGCTAAAACAACATCATCGGAACTGTGGCCTACCTTAAAGTGCTCATGGACAAATATCAACGCCTTGACATCAAATTCATATGTAAACATGTTTATAAATGTGCTTGCTGGTAGACAGCACAAAAAAAACAAAACAAAAAAAACTGTCCAGATGACCTGACTGAAAATTGTTGGATTGTATACGTGGATTAAAGAGCATGGAGTTTGTTGCTTGCTGATAGAGTTTTGTTGATGTTTCAAATTGTGTCCTGATAGGATGTGCCCCTGCGTCTATTATGTCTCTGTGTGTGTTTGTAATTAGTGTTCCTTTTATCTGTGCAGCTGATTGGCTGAGGGGGGCTTCAAAAGACCAAGCTCCTCCTGCTGGACGAGCGAGGGAGGCCAGATGAGATGTTGTTCTGATGGTGATGGTTCTTGTCCTCCAGCCTCGCTCCTGCTCTGGCCACTGATTGTTGCACCTTGTCACAGTTGTTGTTGTTGTTTGTTGTTGTTGAGCTGATTGTTTTTGGGGACTGGGAGTCACCTGTTTAGCCTAGGTTTTTACCGGTTTTTGGTTTTAGGGTTAGTCCCCGGGTTAAAGGGCGAGGGGAGCGGCCCAAATCCGACGACCAACTGCTGGTTGGTTCGGGGCTTCTCCCTCTTTTTGTTTGTTTTAACCAGGCCTCCCAGTCTACATTTTAGTTCAGAAGATTTATTGACAATTAAAGCTTTGTCTAAACTGGAAAATGGTCTGAGC